CGCCACACAACAATGTCACTACGTTCCATCAATAATTTTCGTTTATTGTGGCATTTTTTATATTTAAAGCCGATATTTAATAAAGATTTCCTTAGTGTTTCTTTACCTCCAATATAGCCAATCTTCTCCTTCATTTTATAAACTAAATCATTGATCGTAGGGACTTTTTTATCAATAGTGTAAATTTCATTAACAGTTCTCTTCAACTCCCCTAAATCAAAATTATCGAACGTGATCTTGTTGGAACCCCCACTACGCCGCTTCTTTGAAGGAGATTTTAATGCTCCATCATGGGAAAGTTTGGCTTCGTTTGTATAGAATAACAATAAGTATTTATTTGATAATAGTATATTATATACCGCGGGACTGAAGTAGTACTTTTAATCCCGAAGGTAAAGTTTATGGCCCGACCGAAGGGAGGGCCATAATTTACCTGAGGGATTAAGACCACTACTTCAGTCGCAAGGTATATACGATATTTTTCGTACTTCCGAAACTGAAACACTTAATATGTATGGAGTTAGAGAACGCGTTCTTTCAAAAAATCGCTGCTTAACAAGTTACCATAGGAACGTTGCGTTGGTATGACAATCCCTATGCTATGGTAACAAAAATAATTTGGAAACTGTCATTGCTAGTGTCATAATTTTGGTGGTGGGTGACAAAGGTGTATTTGATATTCATAAAAAGCAGCCAAAGTAGGTAAAAAATTGATACCACGGAAATCTAAAAAACTATATGAGCAGCAGTACGATGCGTTTAAGAAGTAGTGCCGCATACAAAATGTGGAACAACCTACTGAAATTGCCTTGTTAGTAATTTCATCCTTCCGGGATTTTCGTCCACATTTAATCCCGGCGGGACAAAAAGTGACACTTCAGTACTTGTCATAATGGAGTGAAGTTGTCACTTTAGACTCGGAAGTACGAAAAATTATAAAACACATCGCACCTAATTTTGGATATGAATTTTTTCGATTTGCCGGTCGCAGCAGCAGCTAGCTCTGTAGCTTTTTCTAAAGGAAATTCCCACACACCGGCAGCTTTCTGCTTGTCGAAGAATTCGACTACCCTTTTGATAATATTTCTGGCTTCAGAATGCACAGGTTTTTTCTTGTTACTTGCCATACCGATTAAATTGGTGATAACAATTTATAAATATGTCACTGTCACATTTGTTAGGGACTGTACACGCCTGCGTTGTAGGTATTGGCTTAAAGTTTTCCCGCTACGAATTTTTAAAATTAGTTCGCATTATTTCCGAGAGACTTGTTTGCTTGGTGGAGCTGTACTTCGGCATACAGGGCGGTGCCTAGCGCAACGCAGCATAGGGATTTCAATGGTAATTTCTTTATAGTCAATTACTAGCTCCCCTAATTATTTTAGAGCAAAAGTCTAAATACGTTTTTTTTAGAGAAAAAAATACTGCATCTGTTCATACTTTTAGTTATAATTTTCCATTTTTCAAAACCGTAGAAATCGACAAAATAAAAAATTACATTTTTATAAATCAGTGATGCTTTGGAATCTTTTAACAAACTACAAGCGCATTTGTTCCTAAACTTATATTCGGATTTTCCGCTACTGCAGCCAAAACATTGAATGTATAATCGTTTTCCTGATGGTTTTGACGGACATTTTGAACGTTATTGCACTTGCAGTTCTTTAACTAATTTATAAACAAGTATAAATTTAATATACGTCAAAGGCAAATAATGAAACGTGATCGCTGTTTTTTTGGTAATTCAAAGTCATATTTGATTTATTGTAAAATGATCCTTTTTATTTTGTCGATTTCAACGGTTTTGAAAAACGGAAAATTATAAGTAATAGTATGAACAGATGCAGTATTTTTTGCTCTAAAAAAAAACGTATTTACACTTTTGCTCTAAAATAATTAGGGGAGCTAGTAATTGACTATAAAAAAATTACCATTGAAATCCCTATGCTGCGTCGCGCTAGGCACCACCCGGTATACCTCTACAAGGGCGAAATAGTTATTTACGTTATAAGTCCGGTAGGTTACTTGTAACAGTACGAGTTAGACATTATGGACGAGGCGACGTCAGGAGCCGAGTCAAGAATGTCTTAAACGAGTACTGTTACAAGTACTACCGGACGTATATCGTAACGTATTTTATTTCATACTGTAAGTCTGTTCTGTATCATTATTTCATTTCAAAGATTACAAAATTTCATTATATTGTAAAAATCGCATTACCTTGTTTCTGTGGCAACGGCCGTTGCTATAGTTTGTAGTTTGTTTACATTGAATTTTTTTCACTAAAAATGGACGCTATAAACGTTGTGGGATGTTCCACTGTTCCCGATACAATCCTGTCGAAATCTCATGAAGCAACCGAAAAGTTGGTTCCTAAGAAGTCGACCGCAAGGTATGAAAAAGGGTACTAAGTGTTTTGCCAATGGAGGAACGAACATGGGGCGAAACAGTAGAGGAAAAAGTCATGTTGGCATACTTTTTGGACGCAGTAAGTTTTTGAATTGAGATTTTTCTACCTGGGTTTCGGTGTTAAAGCGTCATGGGGCATGGAAAAGCTCATCGACGGCAGAAAAATACATCGAAGGCTCGGTAGAAGGAAAAGTTAAGATTGACCGTATGATACAACTGATACAAGGCGGCGAAAATTTCATTGAAGTTCTACAGCAGAAGGAATCAAACATTACTAACTCGACATCCAGTAATAACCCAGGCGTTAGTGTTGAGGGTAATACAAATTGTTTCATTACAATCAATGTTAATGTTTGAAATAAAGAATTACAGCCAAATTTATGTTGGGGTTTAATTTAATTAATTGTGTGAAGATGTCAAATTTGATGTAAGTATACAAATAAAGGTGGGTTCATAGTTCTCCGTTCGTCCGTTGCGTTGATCCGACAAACGGATAGTGAAATTTGTTAAGGTTCATAGCAATCCGTCCATATCGTACGTTTACAAGTTACCTATTATAGGTATAGGTTATAATAACCATAACCTAAATTATATTTTGTACTGTATCCACCGTGATCTTCAGTACCTACGTGGAAACTACTATCAGATTATCACCGCGAAGAACGTAATAGGCGAATTTGCTCTTAAACGTCAACAGTATAACAAACATAACCTTACTCTTGTTAAAAAACGGACCAACGGAAACGTAAATGTTCAACTTCAACCAACTTTCCCGTTGTAAAAGGACGACGTACGGTTTAAAAATTTACTGTGTTCTGATTGGCTAACGGACAAACGGAAACGTATGAACGGAGAGCTATGAACCCACCTTAACAGCCCAGTTGAAAGAGATTTTTAAGAATTAATGAAGCTCTATAATAATAATGTATTTGTTTGTCCAACAGAAAAAAATTCCAATAATCAGACAAAGAAAGATAAAGTTTGTCGTGCTCGTGGTTTATGCCAGTTGTTGTGACTAGAAAAATCAAACAACTGCTGCCATTACTGTCAGAAATGAAAGTAGGTCAAGCTAAAATCGAAGCCGGTCAAGACGAGATTAAACCCGATCAACAAACCTTGGAAGCTATGTTCGAAATCCGAAATTAAAGCCGGTCAACAGACAATGGAAGCTAAAATCGAAGGTGGTCAGAAAGAAATAAGAATCGAACTCAAAAAAGAGAAACTTGGCAAGAACTCGAAGTTGATATACCCCGGACTTGTTGAGATTCAGGTTTAGGATAGACCTGAAGAACGGAGTACTTCGATTAGACCATGAACAAGTTCCAATTTACAGAGAAGAAGACGAGCTGTTACGCGTAATGCTTGTGGACGAACTCACTCTACCGGAGTATTGTCAGAAAGTTGTGATGACTTTCATGGAAAGGGTCGAGTTTATGACAATTTACGGTAATGCCCTTTGGTTTGTGTAACGCCCCCGCAACGTTCGAAAGATGAATGGAATTGGTTTTGAGAGTTTTTCCTGGAAGAAGTGTTTTGTGTATTTGAACAACATAATTGTGACTGCTCGCACTTCCTAGAATCTCTAAGACGTGTTTATGGTATATTGAGGAGATTTAGGAGAATGGAGTGACAGTGGATTCCAACAAAGTTTATGCAGTACAAGAATAGCCTCAACCAAAAGATAAACATAAATCCTTGTTCCTAATGGATAACCTTTCTGCAATGCCCCGATCCCAGCCTCCGTCTAGCTTGGCCGGGAACTCAGGTTGCCGTGCCATTTGCAGTGTGGTACAAGATCCGTTCAAGAAGAAACTCTAGGGAACGATTAGGTGAAAAACCTGCGTCAGCAATTGGGATCCATCCATGATAAAGTTCGCCATAATATGCAGTTGGTAAACGATAGAATGAAAGTTCAGTAGGTACCTACGATGTGAAAGCCCAAGCTGGTGGTTATTTACCTACCTAGAGATCTGGTTTGATCGTATTGTCCTCAGAGGAGCAGGAGACGCAGGGAAACCAGTGGTAATGCAGATAAATCGGTTGGCTCCATACGTGGGACAGAACGAGCCCGCTGCCCGAGGGACATCCGGAAGAAGCGAATGTGAATCAAGTGAAACCATACGACAATAATAGACTCGAATACAAAGCTCCTTTAGTTTTAGGTTTCAAAATTGGCGTTTAATCAATCCGATCTTGTTCAGTGGATGTATTAAAAAGGTTTAACTTAAAAATAATGTATTTTTCTAAAAATTATAAGTTAGGTATCTTACTTATACCACTTTATTTGTTATTTGTTAATTAATTATTTACTAGGTCCCAGTCTTCAGAAGTTCAGAGTAACTGAGAGCACAAAATAAATAAATAAGGTAGTTAAAATATAAACAAGATGTTCATTTTCTACGAGGCTGAAACATCTACCCTAAATGGGTCCTAAAAGGCACAGACAATTTCTTTTTGAATTGCGGTTATTTTTGCGTAATGAGCGCCCTCTAAACGAATTGTATCGTACTACACGCCCACAATCTGTATTCTGGGCCGGTAAGAAAGTAGAGCTCTTCCAATCCAATTGGAGGATATTGATAAAATAGATTCTTTCTTTTACACATAACCTAAAATTTTTGGTAAACAAATAAATTGCTGGTATTAGAAAATGTTTAAAAACACATTTCAAAGCGGTTTCCTTTCAATTTTGTACAGTATTGGAAGTAAACCGCTCCAAATTTGGGATAAAAAAGTAAAAAACGGCCACATAAAGCGCATAACAGACGAAGATATTCAGTCTTTAGTATTAGAAGTTGTGGGATCAAATGTAAGTACAACATATATAACCTGCCCGGCCGATCCACGAAAGACACTGGGGATTAAACTACCGTTCCTAGTCATGATTGTAAAAAATCTAAAAAAGTACTTCACGTTTGAAGTTCAGGTAACTCTAAACATGTCGCTGATCTTATTTTAATGCTCCGTTTTGCAGATTTTGGACGATAAGAATGTTAGGAGAAGGTTTCGAGCTAGTAATTACCAATCAACGACCCGAGTTAAGCCATTTATCTGCACCATGCCAATGAGATTGGATGAGGGATGGAATCAAATACAGTTTAATGTAGCAGACTTCACCAGGCGTGCCTATGGGACTAATTATGTGGAAACACTCCGAGTACAAGTACATGCCAATTGTAGGATACGCAGAGTATACTTTTCAGATCGACTGTATTCAGAGGACGAGCTTCCTGCAGAATTTAAACTTTTCCTTCCTATACAAAACAAAACAAAAGCGGTTGTAGCACAATAATTTCCACGATAAGTCAAAATTTGCATAACTAATTAATGGCACCAATTTTTATACCACCGTATGTATGGCTACTAATATCACTTGGTCACTGATTATTTTATTTCTTCCATAGTCACGTAATCTAATTCACAAGTACTGCACAATGTAAGTGTAGTTAAATTGATGTAATTTATAAATTGTGATATAAGTATTTAGGTAAATTTGATATTAAAGTACAAACATGAGTCTGAATCAGTTGCTTTCTTTTATTTCTTTGAATCCTAAACAACCTTTAAAAAATGTTCGTTCATGGCTTAGAGTTGTAAGTAATAATTTTCTATGTACCTACTTACAAAAGCACATTTCAAAGGTATTTTGAATGACAGCTGTTACTATACCTCACTTCAGTTTACTTTAAGGTAAACTGTTATCAAATTATCAATCATCCCTTTAATTTTGTACTTATAACAAACTGGAACTAACACATTTTGTTGCATTGTTGATATGAGAATCTCATCAAACTTTTAATGTAATAAAATTGTTTGCACTTATTGGATCAATACGGCTATTTAATCTCCATGGATTACATATGTTCTCCTTATACAAGATTCTCACCTAAGAACCTAAGTAGTATACTCGTGTGAGAACACCCATTAGCCCTTGCGTGGTTTAAGGAGGTGGTTGGCAACATCCCACAAATATGGGAGGCTATACACACCTAAAGGTAGTGCTTCCCTAGGCTCTTGAAGGTTGCCATTTGGGTGGGAACCTGACGACTTGTTGGCGGTTAAACGGTGCCCGGCAGAGCGGAATACTTGGGCAAAAGTGGGCAGCTGGTGTCTCTTCCACACAGCCGTGAGGTATCAACCTCAAAAGGGAGCCTGATAGCTTTCGACATTAACGAAAAGGACTAGGCTAACCTAATTGCTGAGGGGGGAAAGCCCAGTTATGGGTTTCTCTCTCTCTCTCTAAAGGTGAGGGTCTGTAACCCTGCTGAACCTGAGGTGAGGAGTAAGTCAGTACAATCCCCACAACAACACCAGCAGCAGCTACAGGGCAACTGCAAGAAGCTACGGAAGAATCACTGTCCAAGGCAAACTCACAAACTGTGTGGTCTGTACCTACTTGTTCCAGGCGTTAGCAACCCCCACACAGTCGTGGGCCACTCTCGAATTGTGGGGAGGCGATTGCCTATCCTAGAAGGGCAATCGGACTCACTCACTCCTCAATAATTCACGTTAGGAAAAAACTATCACATTTATTTCTTGATGATGATGAAGAATCCCAACCAGACATATTCAACTAGGGTCCCTTTTCTCCCTCTTCTCAATTGTAAGTAAAATTAACGTACCGAGACACACTATATACAAGGTCCTCATTGGAAGGAGTACTTACTTAAAATATTTGGCAGGCTTAAGGCACACGGAATTTTATTATTCAAGGGCAGTTTAAGGGTTGTCGTTGTTTATACATTATTTAAACATAATCTATCAACAAAATAAAAATGTTCACTGTATTACGAAATTTACAACCCCCGCACCCTAAGTATTCTATAAGTTATAGTGTGAATTACTTATGCGAATCATTTCCTGATAATAATGATTGCAGAAAGAGAGACAACTAGTTTACGGTTACTGTGGGTATTCCATACCCCCCGATACTACATTCTCCACCAAAAAATGTTTAGCGTAGCAATCACATATAAACATTCGACATTCGACGTTGGACGTTGGATATTGGACAATGGACATTGAACATTGGACGTACTGAGATGGGCACTTGTTGTTTACCTGCACCGGTGACCTAACTTTTGCTTTCCTGATTACCAAATTATTATTAGAAATTCTACTCTTTCCTTTATTTGTCTGTACCCTAAACCGTTCCCAGTATCCTTGCCTTTAACCTGTCTCCCGACCAGCTCCTCTGTGTTCAAGTGGATGACGACTACAGAGCGTCGGAATAGTGGAACCTCTTTAGGGTGAGCAGAGTGTGTTGCCTAATGTCAAATAAAACGACCTTTCTTTCGAAACTTTATTTAAAGTGGAAATTTTAACTCTATTATAAGTTGCTCTCGTCTCATAAATATAAGTGTAGTACCCCCTATTCTACGCATCTAAACCACAACGTTTTAAAGACAAAAAATCATGTACTCCACCTCGCACGCCGCCAGCCAGGGGCGAACCCGTAAATCGTCATTCTTCTTTTTTGTGCGGTTTAAACCACACGTGTTTTGTTGTATTTCGGCGTTTAGTGTTTCTGTTCGACGAGATGGCAATTTTCCATAGCCTCAGCGATACAGCTGATACCAACTTCTGACCGCGGGAATACTCCCGAAATGGACACGGTCAATTACGGAGATATACATCTCCGCGGAAATATACATTTCCGCACGCACGGATGATTTTCACAAGTACTCGGGATTAGGAGCAGTCTCAAGTGCCCGACGTATTTAATCCGTCTCGACCAAATGGAAGCGAGATGGCGATTCTCTAGCCCCAGCGATGCGGCTGATACCACTTCTGACCACGGGAATACTCCCGAATTGTTCACGGTCAATAGTGGAGATATACATCTCCGCGGAAATATAAATTTCCGCACGGACTGACGGACGGTTTCGCGAGGAGGCTGCAATTCGGGATGAGGTGCTGTCCGAAAAAGGTATTTAATTCATTTTCGCATTGTTGCGATCGTTTTAGAGGAATATTCCTCTTAGGCCAATGATATGATTGAGCTTGTCGTTTTAAGTGAATTTTCACTTTTGGTAATTACTACCATTTTTGGAATGCCTTGTTAGATAACGTAGATATTTATCTACCTTGTTTTTTTAACATGATGAAGGACCTACTGTTAGCTCGGTTTTCTTGCCTTGTTATGTGGGGTCGTTTAAGAGCGCGACGAATTCCTTCACCCCGCTAAATAGGCCTGGCTATAGTACGTCTATTCGAATAAACAATGACCATTTCATTGGCTTGGCGCTAAGTAGCGTTTTTTACTGCGAAAATGAGCCGTAGAATTTAGAACTGTTACGTTCTTTAGGTTTACTAATTATTTTTGACACTGTTTGTCTTACAAGGAATTTTGTTAGAAAACTTCCGCGGACTTTTGTTTTAGAGAAAAATGCGAAATGTAACGCTGATGTCCACGACATTCCCTTATCCAAAGACGTGTGAAAATTATTATTGGCGTTAAGGATGTTAGAATTTTAAATTCGACCAGCTGCTTTGTGGGACACCGGCGAAATCTCGTCAAAGAAGTTGGGCGTAAATTAATTAAGATGTGACTCGTACCGCTACATTTCTTTGTATTGGCCGCAGAGGGTAAACTTGACCATGTGTGTTCGGAAATTGCCGAAAAGGGACAGATCCTCTGAGGCCGTCGTAGGAATCGGTTGTACGCCAATTTAGTTTTTTTTTTTTCATAAGTATATATAAAGCCATCGTGAAAATAAATCATAATCGAGCTAACACGGAGAAGCAAGTTGGATAGATATTATGAAAGCGGAGGTTGAGTGAAGATATTCGAACGGAATGTGTGCTCCGTTACCCTCCTCTGACCCACTGCAAATTTTTAGAGGCCCCAGCTAAGCTTGGAAGTGGCGGCAGCTATTAATGCAGCGTCAAGGAACCGAGACAACTGCTTGCTTAGTTTTCAGAAGCAATTATGTTGCAGCATTTCTGCAATTGGGAAGGCGATTTTCCTTGCTGTTGCGGGAGGACAGGGAGACCAACCTTCAGGTTGTGAAATCCCTCAGCCATGCAGACAAGCTATAGACCGCCCCTTTTCTCGTGCAGCTATTAATGTAGCGTCAAAGAACCGAGACAACCGCTTGCTTGATTTTCAGACGCAATTGTGTTGCAGCATTTCTGCATTTGGAAGGGCGTTTTCCTTGCGCAGCAGGGTAGGGAGACCAACGTATACCTAGGTGGTGCAATCCCTCAGCGATGCAGGCAAACTATTGGTCGCCTTTTTTGGTTGTATTCTTCCACGAGGAAAGAGTTACTTGCCCTAGGATTCAGTAACGAGTTTATGAACCAGCCGCGTAATGCAGAGGTGGCTGATTAGCTGTTCGGAATCAATCTGAACGAGAGATGGAGAGCATGCAAAAATTTGGAGAGAGTGGGCCGAGAATTGAGGCTTGCTAAACCAAAAGCTCCAGTTGATTCTCGGGCAGCAAAAAACGCCAGGGGTCAATCTCTGTTCCCTCGAGTTCAGCGGGACCGTCAACCTTTCCATCGACGGACTCTACCCATTTACAATGCGCGACCAGCATTCCTGCTGGAGGGGAGAAATCTATAGCAAATGATGCAGGTGCAACAGAGGAGACCTGCAAAAAAGCATCTGAGACAGCATTACCTGTAAGTCGTTTGGCTGGAAGATTGAAAAATGTTTACTCTTTTTGGCTTAGTATTACTAAGATTAGTACTGTTTTGTCGTGGATAAAGGGAATATATATTCCTTTCTTAAAGTATCCACACAGTTCTTATAAAATGGGAACCGACTTGGTCACAGACAGCGTTGATTAACTTACAAAAAGCCTTAGCTGACCTTTTAAAATTGGGAGGTATTAGCCGAGTGAGCAGTGGTTCCGGGCAATTTATCTGGAATAATTTTTCAGTCCCGAAACCAGACGGTGCCTAGCTTTCGTTAATTTTGATATTTTCATTTAACGGAGATTTATCCAGTTGGTTCCCACCTTAGAACTACTGTACTTTTTCAGTGGTTTATCTGGACAACTTCTTGCTTTTAGGAGATTCCTATAGGAATTGCTTGCATAATGTTCCTGAGACGAGTACTCTATTGAAGCCTTTGGGTTTTTTATAAGTAAAGAGTTGTATGGTTCCTCACAGGTTTGTGAGTGAAGTTTTGGGGTTACCCATAATATTATAGAAATGTCTATTAAAATCCTCTCGAAAATTCTTGATAAAGAAGTTGAGAAACTTTTCAAAATTGTTGTCTCCTAAAAGTTTGCAAAATACATGATTTTGCTACGCTGGTAGGAAAGATGGTTCCCATAAACCCTGCCATGGAATTTGGTTGGCTTCACACTAGGAGTTTTGAAAGAGTAAAACTGCTTTAAATTCTTATGGAGAAAATTATGACACAATCATGGAGATTCCCTCTAGTCTAAAGGAATTTGAGTGGTGGTTGAAAAATTGATCAAATTCAGGAAACGCGAAGTCCCCGCCGTTCTTGTTCAGCGGAACAGTGCAGAAATCCTCTCCCTCTTAGGAGAAGGTGACCTTCTGTTACAGAAG